CTTGCGGGGTTCCAGGACTCTAGAATGCACCATATCCAGTAGAGGCCATTTACCATTTCAGAGCAGCGCTGATGGTACAGTAAATGTTAAGAACTGAGATCTACAATAGATCATGATTTAATATTGATTTATATTACATTATCATGTTTGTGTTCTCATTTGTTTTATCTCTGTATGTATATCTTTATCTTTTTATGTTTATATTGTAAATACTTATGGAATATCTTTTGTGGTTTAATTCAACCAATGAGATCGCTGTCAGCGACGCATAAAAGATGATGTGACAGAATAAACCAGGTGTTCCCTGATTGAGAAGCTAAGCAGTGATGTGGCTGTATTATTTCCTCCCTCAGCACGAAGGATGACTCTGCTAACAGTAAAAATAAAGCATATTTGTAAAACTTTATTAACAAGAAAATGTAGCGGCACATATGTACACAATATAATACATTTTTTGAAACTTGGTTAAATCAGTTTAGACCATAAGTGGTTTGCAACATAAATTAGTAAAAATTTTTAACTTTCATTGCAAACTTCTCAGATTATTTTAAATGACTTGAAGCTTCAAAAAACTGAAATGACATCAAACCTGATTGAATGCACAAATGCTCCATGATGCACAAAACTGTAAAAAAAAAATAAACATAAAAAATACCATGACGACATATTTGTTTTTCTTTTTGCCTTATCTTCCTATATTTTGAAAGTAAGCTCCTACTTGTGTTGAGTATTTTGAAGATGGATATTAAAGCATATAGTGGAAACACACTGAATGTTCAGAACAACACAACTGCACTGTTAGAACTGTGTGCACGCAACAGAAATAAGATAGCCAGTACAAAAGCATTCTGTGTTCATTATCTGGAGGTAATATTTGATCTATTTTCAAATATGTGATTCAGTTAAAAGAAATCGAACTGTTTCACCAAAACTTTGATTCTAGTGTAATATGTGAAACACAAGATCAGTTCAAATGACTTCTGGTTCATGCTTTCAGCACAAAGTAAAAATTATAAATGTTTGTTATATTTTTTCTCTTATTTTTAATAATAGGATATATAATTTAAATTAAATATTGCATGATGATTAGAATGTTTTGGGTTCAGCACTGAGTGATACTTGCTTTTATCTTTATAATCAGAATCCATTCATCTGGAACATTATGAAATTTCATTAATAAAAATGAAGTTAACAATGAATGTATAAACTTTAAGAATCATTTTTAAAATCACTAATCATTCAAATCAAACAAAATATTTATATTATTCTGTGGTTTTTGCAGAAGTTATGTGAAGAAGAAACAATCTTTTATATAGCGCCTCTCAAGATAAAATCATGAGAACCTTCACAAGAAAGAAAATTAAAAATAAAAAAAGTTTGAAATATCATAAAGATGGTAAAAGTAAAAATTGTGATTAAAAAAGTGAGAAAATGAAAAAGAAAATAAATAAGAAAAGATTATCAGTGGATCCCGGGAAAGGCAGAATTGGTAGAATTGGTTGTGTAACACAAACAGATATTTTGAATTATTTCACAGTGCGAGCTGTTTCATGAAGTGGTGGGTTCAGTGTGGGTTATTTATATATATAGCATAGAGGCTAATTCTGTGTCTTTCTGGGCCTCATTCAAAGCCCTCAGGGGCCTTCTGTGGTTTAGGGATAGTAAATGCTGCGTTTTGTATCCTCTTATCTTAATTGTCACACAAATAAATTGTAAGCTCTCTCTCTCTCTCTTTAACACGCACGCGAGCAGACAACACACACACACACACACACACACACACACACACACACACACACACACACACACACACACACACACACACACACACACACACACACACACACACACACACACAAAGGGAGGTAAAAGAAAACTGGCATTTTGTTTTAGTACTAATTGGAAATCAATCAGAATTCATCCGTCTCGGAAAACTGTGACATTTCCCGCTCTTTGCCAATGATTAGAAACAAATTATGCCAGAGACTGACATTTGGAGAGCAGGTGGTTGTTTGGAGTAGAGTGTGAAAGATCAACAGAGCATGCATTTATGCTCTGTCACTGACGTGTGTGTGTGTGTGTGTGTGTGTGTGTGTGTGTGTGTGTGTGTGTGTGTGTGTGTGTGGTTGCGTGGGAGAACATGTATCTGCCTGACCAAGGGCACACACTACTGTGGGCTGCTCAGAGGGCCCTGTAGGAATAACTTGATAAGGGGCTTATTTACCATAATAATGCATCTCATCTCTTCACATCAAACACTCCTGCCTGGTCTGATAACCCACTCTTTAATTTGGCACAACTGTTTGATGTGCGTTCCAGGGGCCATCATCACAGGCAGCACAAAAGTTAGGTAATTGTTGTGTACTCTAGCGGTGTTTTGAAAAAAGAAAAGTTACATAATGTTGCACCAATACTGCAAAGCATGAGGAGGTTTTCAGATACTGAATGTGACAAGTGAAAAAGACGAATGTATTTTCTTGAGAGGCTACATGTTTTTCACAACATCCACACGTGAAATATAGCCTTAAAGAGCAAATTGCAGCCAAAATTTTTGTTCTAATTCATATAAAATGCTGTCCAAAAAATCCTATTTGAAATGTTTATCGTGGATATTTAATTCCAAAATACATAACAGCAGCTTCTCTAGTAAAAAGTGGCCTTTCTCAGCAAAGCTTCTACAAAGGCTCTTTTTTTCTAAATCTGAACCTCTGACGTAACCAAAGGGAGTTAGAAGCTATGCTGCCTCAGCTCAGTGTGGAGAGTGGCTAGTTTTAGGGTAGAGAGGTCTTGTTATCCCGTCAGTGTGTGTTCACTAGTGTTGGATTGTCTTCATGTTGATCAAATCAAATCAAAGATACTTTATTATTCCCAGAGGGAAATAAACTATAGTGTGTGAAGGCTGTACCAACTCCAGCCTGTCTGGACATTGAGTCCACAGGTTTCCAGTTAAGAGAAACAACGCCTCCATCTCCGTGCCTGAGGGCGTTTCTGCAGCTGAAAGACGGACTTCTGTAGCCCACATCGGTCGGTACCGGGACAGAGAGGTCCGCGCTGGGCTCTGGAGACCCATGGTGGGGTTTAAAAAATGAAATGCAGATTTCTGGAGCTCAAATCACTGTCAGAACCGACAACCAGAGGAGATACGTGGCCCAGCAGGCCAGTTGGTTTCCGGGTCGGAACCGGATCAGAACCGGGGCCCAGACAACCAGGAGAGGATCATGTGCAGCTTTTAAAAATACCTGCTGGACTGGCTTGCTGGTGTTTGGGTCAGATCCAGAAACGGAAGCTCTCCCTTTCTCTAAAGCACTAAACTATGTTAGGTGAACGAATATTAGCGAGTGTGAGACAGCGGACAGACGCTCATTATTGTAACGTTCTGCACTTTAGCTGTGTTCTGTGTGAGAATGTCAGCAGTATGTGTTCCATGTAACACATTCTTTGCAGTTAATTGTTCTGTTGTGCTTGGTTCTTTTTTACTGTAATTGAGTGGAATGGATGAGCGGTTCTAGGAAGGGGGAGGAGCAAGAGTGTGTGTGTGTGTGTGTGTGTGTGTGGGGGGGGGGGGTGAAAAACCCTGAGGAGGAGTTATTGTTTTTTTTGGTATCGCTTTCTCTCTGTTCATTGGTTTTGTTTTGGGGTCGGTGTTTGGCGTGGTTGCGGCCAGCAACTCTTTTGGACTCATTAAAAAGACTAAAGCATAAGTTAGCGTCTCCGACCGTTATTGTGCCGACGGGACGTTACAGTATTAATATTATATTAACTGACCAATACTATTTTAATTGTCTGGTACATGATAGTAATATGTTAGCATCGTGAACTCACCTGCAATTAAGTAATCAGCCCTCTCCAATTTGTCTCACATGTATTTTAGGTTTCATTCATTCAGGACCAATGATGCATATCATGTAATGTAACTAAGTTACTTTCAGAATAAAGTAATCAGTAAGATAATTAAGTTACTTTTTAAAAGATTAATCAGTAATTACATTCTAAGGTACCTGTGGGAACCCTGCCCTGAATAAATCTATGACTACTGATAAATGATAACGATAATGACTAGTGCCTTTCAGAGTCAGAGGACTCAAAGCCCTTTACACTACAGTGTATCATTCATCCATTCACTTCCTGGTGATGATGAGCTACAATGTGGCCACAGCTGCCCTGGCACTGACAGTTACCAGTCACTATCAGTCCCTCTGACCACCACCAGCAGGGAAGGTGGGTGATGTGTCTTGCCCAGTGACAGAACAGCAGAATTCCCTGCCAGGGTCAGTCCTAAAATCCTCAGATTGCTGGACAACAACATCCTGAGCTGCTGCTGCTCTCAGTTGCAGGAATAGTGTCATGCAACATATCTGAGCGTGTTCAAAAGTCCAGCAGTAACTAATTAGAGGAAACTGATAACCTATGCAAATGTTTCATGACATGTTTGGATGCTCCTTCATGATTACTTCCAAATTTGCTGCCATCAGAAAAAAACTGAAATACCGGCTTAACCATGGATAGAAATAAACTATAAAGGACTTCCTATCTTCCTCACTTAAGAGTAGAGTTAGAGGAGGTGAAGGTCATTAGTGTTCAAATTGTCTTTACAGCAGCTAACTGATGTTGCTAGGAATTGGTATCAGCTCAAGTCTGGAATGTTGAGCACTGGTTTTGTAGTGTGGTCCTTGCAAATTGCTGGGAATGTTAAATAAAATATTAATTCTGTGGAACAGTACTGCAGTAAGCTAAAAAGGAATAATGATGTTTTTATGACAGGAGTTGTTCTTTCATTTGTTAAAAAAAAAAAATATATATATATATATATATATATATATATATAGATTGAAATGTTAAAATGCATTCATCTGAATTAATAATGATTTGATGTAGCATAGCGTGTAGTCTTATATTAAAGTGCAGGACTTGTCATTGATTAGAAACATCTTGACACTAAGTCAAGGCGTAGGAACCGGGGGGGACGGGTGGGACGTGTCCCCTCCAATATTTGACAAACGCGCATTTGTCCCCCCCCAATAACATGGAGAAGAAAAAGATTGATTTTGAAATATTTGACTCGCGAGCTTTTATTTTGAAAGACACCGCGGACTTCTCTCCGACACAGCCCCTCCCCTCAGGGAGTTACAGGCTGGCTGAGTGAAGCAGGAGTCAGAGCCAGGGCAGACACAGGTGTCAGAGAGAGACGGCAGCAGCTCAGCGAGTTCTTCTCATGGGCAAAAAAAGAAAGAAAGGAATTGTGAGTTGGTAATAATTTAGTCCAAGAGTATAATTGTATTTCTGGTCAAACGCTAAAATGGCTGACTAGCGTAAACATCTTGCTAGTTAGCATTAAACATTAAACAACACTACTAGTTAACAAAAATGGCGAATTTTACAGTAACAGACAAAAACCATTTGACAAGAAATAAATAAAAAAGTAGAATCTCCACATAAAAATTGAGTTTGTAAGTGTGATTGTTGCTTGTTTGTGACATTCTCATCACATTTCATTTTTAAACCTTATTCGTGTCACTTTTTTCATATAAGAGACCAGAGGAAGTTCAGCAGGAAATGACGAAGAAGGTGCGACAGGCAGCGCCAGACCTGCTGAGGGTGAGACAGGGAGAGCCAGACCTGCTGAGGTGCAGGTAGGCAGGGCTGGACTGGGACAAAAATTCAGCCCGGGCATTTTGATTGGAGACCGGCCCATCACCTGGTTTTTTTGGAAAAGACATTAAGCCTTACGCTGTTTCTGACACACACCAACGTACACTTTCTTATTGGTAATATTTATGTATCAATCTAATAAACGTAAACCTACACCATCCTTCCTATCCTGGTATTCTAAAAAAGTAGGGTTGGGGGTAAATGATTATTTTTAAAATGATTATTCTGACGATTCTTTTATCGAATAGTTGACTATTCTAATGACTATTTAGATGATTAATCTAGCGATTATTTTTCTATTGCACAATTAATAAAAAGCAAAAAATCTTAAATAAATTCCTCCCAAAAATTAATAAGTTGTTACTGTAAGAGAATAAACACTACAGGCCTTCCATTTTGTATAACACTGCTTTTATTGTGTTGCGGTTGTTTATGTTCTGGTGACGTGTAGAACTTGGGAGAGCAGGCTGCTGCCTGAGAGGTGGTTGGAGACGGAGTGTCTCCATGCTGCTTTGTTTTGGTCACTTATGTGCATGAGGCAAGTGGTGTTACGACCCTTCCTGGGGAGTCAAGTGTAAAGGGTTAAATTTACCTAAATATTGCCTTATTTATTATCTCTTGATGTTATTAGTCCTTATTTCTGTGGTTAATTGACAATAGTTCCCTGAAATGTTTCTCCTATTTTAACTGTAAATCCTTCTAGCTGTTATATTTATAACAAGAAACAGATATTCGGACGGAATATTTTCATGTTTATTCGAATATGATTGTGGAACACACCCAGCATCATAATAAATGAAGTAATATTTATGCCAATTTAAGCCTTTATGGGTGACCAGGACACTGTGATCAATTTTTGGCAAGGGAAATTATCATTTGTTGCCATTTTTGAGGTGTTTATGAATGTGGAAGACACCCAGCATCCTGTGATGGCACTAATAACATCAAGAGATAATAAATAAGGTAATATTTAGGTAAATTTAACCCTTTACAGGTGACCAGGACTCTGTGATCAATTTTTGGCAAGGGAAATTATCTTTTTTTTTTGTTGCCATTTTTGAGGTGTTTTTGATGACACAGTAGGCAGTATGAGTACAGTAACATCAACAGATAATACATAAAACCCTTATTTGGTCAATTTTAGCCTCCATGAAAATCTGAGCGATTCAATCACTTTTTGGCAAGTAAAATGCCATTTTAGTTGTCTACAATTAAATCATCAATAAAGAATTTAAAGATATTTTGAGGCGTTTCTTATAGGTAAACGGGAGGGTGTAGTCTATTTGGCAAGTGACCAATCTTAATTGTATGTGCTGAAGAGCTTTTATCTTGTTACTTTTAAATAGAGCAACGTAATGTATAGATAGTAACCTACACAGTGTCATTGTAAAGCCAAAGCTTGATCATTTTAAATACTTTTTTTCAAGTAAAAATGTGCCCCAAACTAGTTAACTGTGGCTCCATGTCAAGTGGACTAAAGAAAGGAAGGGGGAAAAATTAAATCGCTGGAGAATTGTTTATTTACATTTATACAACGTTTACATTCAATACAGGGTGCCATTTTACATTATTTATTTTTTTAGTATCAAGGCTGTAACATAAAGAAAGCCAGTTCTTACCACAAACCATCTTTCAATAGCAAATATTGCAAAAAGGATTAATCATTGTGAACGTTTAAGACAATTAGCAACACTTAAAACAACTTCCGAACTGGGAAAACTAATGTGGCAAGGTGGATAAACGACGGCCCGGGTTGTATTCGATCCCCAGACCTCTGGGGTGAGAGTCATACGCTCTAACCAGTCAGCCAAATGGACATCCCCTTGGCCCAGTAGCCAGGGCGCAAGATCAATCAAGACATTGTGACAGGATGCTCACACTGCCACATCTTCCTCCCTCTTTCCACAAGCACGTCCTCGTGCTCCCGCGCAGGGTGCCACAAACACTGCCACACTAATATCCGCGATAAACATCTGTTTAAGTACCGGAAGAGGTTATCTTTGCTTTCTGAATGTCCATATTGCTAGATATGCTGAGTTTTAGGGCGAAATCCTGGGGAATTTTGTCTAGAAATGCAATTACCTAACCGTGCGCGATCCCGCGGTGGCTAATCATTTTTTGGCAGCGAAACGATTAATGGCACAACACCGGCTCGGGTTTCTCCTCCTCCTCCCTCTTTTCTTCTCCAACCTGTCGCTGGGCTGAGGCTCCATCACTTCCTAAATTGATTTTACTTGAACCTTCACTACCAAACAACTGTGAGATTTTAACACATGTGCCAGCATCAGCCTGAAGGGCCAGTTTCTTTTTTAGTCGAATTTTCTCCGCTCCTGCTTTCCGTTTTTTGTTCTCCATTTTGTAAAGCTCGTCTGTCTGTTTACTGAGATTCACAAACAACTGGCGGGTGCATCAGACCGCTGGCTATTGGTCCAGCCCAGAGTGTATTATTACCAATTGGCCAATCCACCAACTTTTACGAGGCGTCGCGTGGGGCGGCGCGGACAAGTTGTCCGCAACAACTAGAGACTAGGGAAAAAAAAAAAAAAAAAAACAGACACCGGCCCATAAAAGATGAAAGGGTCGGCCCAGCGGGCAGTTGCCCGCTATGCCCTATGGTCAGTCCAGCAGTGCAGGTAGGTGCTACAGTGGAGTGAGATTTTAGATGGTTGATGATGAGAGGAAGATTCGAGCATGATAACAAGTGAGCACGACTAAATAATACTATAACAACCATGATTTTAATGTTGCACTAGTCGTCCAACAGTATTTTACTCCTTATTCCTGTCCACTGTTTTTATATTAGAGATCAGAGGAAGTTCAGCAGGAACCAGTTGAGGGTGAGACAGGGAGAGCCAGACCTGCTGAGAGTGAGACAGGGAGCACCAGACCTGCTGAGGGTGAGACAGGGAGCACCAGACCTGCTGAGGGTGAGACAGGGAGCACCAGACCTGCTGAGGGTGAGACAGGGAGCACCAGACCTGCTGAGAGTGAGACAGGGAGCACCAGACCTGCTGAGGGTGAGACAGGGAGAGCCAGACCAGCTGAGAGTGACAGGGAGCACCAGACCTGCTGAGAGTGAGACAGGGAGTACCAGACCTGCTGAGAGTGAGACAGGGAGCACCAGACCTGCTGAGGTGCAGGTAGGTGCTACAGTGAAGAATGAGATGGTTTTAGGTTGCTGATGAGAGGAAGATTTGAATGTAATAATAAGTGAACACAGTTAAATATATGTAATCCCATAACAAGTAGGGCTGGGCAGTACGGTTTAAGAATAAATTACATTCTGTATACACTTCCTTAGAAATATTAGAAAAATAAGTGTTAAACTCTGCTTTCTGGTGCATTTAGACTGCAATTTTGGCCACTGTTTGTTTCTTTTGTCCATCTGAAAATTAACATAGTTCCAGCTGTTGTTGTAAGTGAATTATTTCTTTTTTCATTCTGTCAGAAACAAGCAGATTTTTCTGATTGTTGGTCAGCATTGTTGGCTGATGTAGTTTAAAATATTCTGATGAGTCAGATCAATTCAGACTGAATATTCACAGCTTTAGTCTTGTATTAAATCTGTTTACACATCTCTACCCATAGGAATAAGATAATATATCCTACATTCATATTATTAAAATATATCCTACATTCATATTATTAAATAAAAATAAAACACTACTGACACATAAACAGCTTTTTTATAATTAAAACGTCCACGTTGGCCGGTAATCACCTGGATCCGGCTAATGGGGAGTAACTAAGTAAGTAAAAGTTTATAGAGCACCTTTCACAGATATAAATCACAAAGCGCTGTACAGCATGATAAAGATCAGGGCAAATACCTCTAACCAATAAAAACATCAGAAAAACAATAGCAGTGATAAAGTAGAAAATAAAATCATGAGTATAAACAAAGTGAAGGTGTGAACCCGAACAAAGCCATCATTCTGAAACATTTAGGGAGGGAACGCCTGGATGAAAAGGTGAGTTTTTAGATGATTTTTAAAGACCTCTACAGTGTTAGAGAGACGGAGATTTGAAGGTAGACTGTTCCAAAGTCTGGGTGCAATAGTCTGAAAGGCCCTGTCCCCTTTGGTTTTCAGTCTGGTTCGAGGAACAGCCAGGAGGTTTTCAGATGTGGATCTAAGGTTCCGAGAGGTGGTGTGTGGGGATAAAAGCTCAGATAGGTAGCTTGGAGCCTGGTTGTTAAGAGCTCTATAGGTCAGGACTAAAACTTTAAACTGTATTCTATATTCTACCGGGAGCCAGTGGAGGGACTGTAAAACTGGAGTGATGTGAGCTTGTCTGCTGGATTTAGTTAGGAGTCTGGCTGCTGCATTTTGGATGGCTTGAAGGCGTGAGAGGGAGGTTTTGCTGTGACCAGTAAAAAGAGCGTTACAGTAGTCTAAGCATGATGACACAAAGGCATGGATGATTTTTTTCCAGATCTGCAGTAGAAACCAGTTTACGGACTTTTGAAATGTTTCTCAGTTGAAAGAAACAAGAGCGGGAGATGGTTTTGACGTGTGAGTCTAAACTTAAAGCTGGATCAAAAATAACTCCTAGGTTTCTAATGTTGGCCTTGGCTGATGGGCAAAAAGAGACAATTTCTTGCTCGATTTTTGGCTGATGTTCCGGGGGTGCAGAGATCAGGGCCTCTGTCTTGTTAGCATTTAAGACAAGAAAGTTGCTGGACAGCCAGTTACTGATCTGGGTCAGGCAGAGTACAAGTGTGGCCAGCCTGTCCAACTGGTGTGGCATAAAGGACATATAGAGCTGAATATCATCAGCGTAGATGTGGTAGGAGATGTCTGGGAAAGACTGAATGATGCCAGCTAGGGGAAGAATATAGAATGCAAATAGTAGATGCCCTAGGACTGAACCTTGTGGGACCCCGCATGTTAGAGAGGCAGTATCTGAAGAGAAGGTTTCGGACTTCACTGTGAATGTTCTGTTGTTGAGATAAAAAGAGAGCCAGTCTAGAGCAGAACCTGAAATCCCAGCCAGGGCCTTTAACCTGTTTAGTAGAACGTTGTGGTCTACAGTGTCAAAAGGAGCCTAAGTTTCCTCCCCTTCTGGCTGGCTCATGGGTCCCCGATCAAAAAAAAAAAAAAAAAAAACAAAAAAAAAAAAACAGAATGTTAGTGAACTGGGCTATAAAAGTTATTTTCTTGTCTTTCTGGGCTTTGCCTTACGCCCTGAGTCTCATCTGTCAGACTTTTCTAATCCTAGAGTTTCACCGTCTATCAGATTTTCTATCAGAAGCTAAAGCAGGAGATAGCGGCAGGAGACTATGTTCATGTTCAGCTTGCATGAAACACTCAGTGACACGTTAGAATCAGAAATAATCATTTAATGTATTTTTTTCCAGTGAAGTTGAACTACGGTATATATTGACCTACAACAGATTTGTTAGATTTCCAAAATGTGTCCCCCCCAATATTAAACTCGTTCCTTCATGCTTGTTTTACTTCCAGCTCGATCTGGTTTCAGCTGATGAAAAATGTTCAGAGAACGAGAGATCAGTATCTCAAGTTTTAGAGTCAGTTCAGTGTCTGTAAACAGCTAATTATAACAAACTCTTAAAGCTTTAATCTACATCTTCTATTAAAGATATTTTAGATATTCCTAACAGCTAGGGTTGTCACGATACTAAAATTTCAAACTTGATTCGATACTTGAAAAAAAAACTTGGTACTCGATACTCGATTTCGATACTATTTAAAAACACCCATTTATCGAACAAGTTTATTGAAAAAATAACATTCCTCAATTTATATTGCAAAAATTAAATGTTAAGAATTAAGTGTATTAAGTGCTTAAACCTTTCAAGTATCAGCATTTTTTAAAACGTGCATACAAAAACTGGTGAAAGTTAACACTTTAAATCATGAATTGTCTCACTATATATACACTATTTGCAGAGTGATGTTTTGCTGCTTAAACTCTGTTTAAGGTGCATTTTTGTCATAAGATGTAATGCCATATGTTTTGTTCTGTACTTTTGAACAACTCTGTTGGTTAATAAAGGGAGAAAACGAATTTCTCCACAGTAGGACAAAGGTACATCTACCGGTAATCTTGATAAAAACAGACTGGCGCACGGCAGTGACGTCATTAAAAGCGCTGGTTAGATTAGCCGCAGCTAGTCTGTTTACGCCTAGAAATCCCAGACCAGACCCGCTCCAAACGAACAGGGGAATCATGTTAATGATTCCTAACAAAACCTTTCGACATGAAGATGTTTTGGTGCAGATAATGTCTTATTTCGAGGCTGCACCATGGGTGCCCGTCCGCACCCGTTATATGGATATACGCTGACGGCGATTCGGCGATGGACCTACGGTAAATACCCCGGGGAATCCAAGTAGCACCAAAGTTGTCAGCGTGAGTAAACAAACGTACTGCATGCTAGAAATTAAGTCCGGGTTGCAATAAACGGGAGTTTCCTTTAAGCACATAAGCGTGAATATACAACTACGTGTCGGACTTGGTATGCTAATTAAGTTGGGCTGTGAAGCGCCTCCCAAATTCGCTGTTTATGTTTTTGTTTATTTATTTGGCAGACAAAACTTGGATCGGAGACAACTCGCGTGGGAAATTGCTATGTAGCCATGTGGCGTCTTCTTCTGTTTGTCTGGGAGGCGGAGGCTGCTTTACGGCATCTGGCTGTCGTGCGTGTCGGTGTACTTGAAGAAGGCTGTGTATAATAGTCCATAATATCGATACCACAGGGATGGAATATCTCATTTAGATACTACTTTTAGTATCAATTTATATCTGGGTATCGATTTTTTTGACAACACTACTAACAGCACACTTGGCTCTCAGACAGCAGGTTTACTTGTCATTCCTAAGAGTTTCTGAAAGTAGAATGGGAGAAAATGCTCTCAGTTTTCAGACTCATCTCTTGAGAAACCAAGTGTCATCCATGAGGTAGAGCCATTACACTTTCAAGACTGGGTTTGCTGACACTTCCTGCAAGTGGATGGTACCTCCATCCGTCGGTATAACGGTGGTTCTCATCGCCCAGGGCCGGGTGTTTGGGCATCTGCTGACTCGCTCTCAGTAGATTAATTAATTGAATCCCAACACCCCTGAAAGTTCTCAAGTTTTTCCGTAGTTAGTGGCACATTCTAGTTTCATCCTGACAAGGAATGTGACTTAGGTTTTTACATTACAATACAGACCCACAAAACAAGTTCAGAAATCATTTATACAGAAGTGAAAGACACTCCAAATAAAAATGTTTGGTAGAGGGAGGGGGCATAATAGTGAGGGTTTCACAGGCCAACAGTTAGAAACTGTTATTGTGACATGAGGTACTGTTCTGGAGGACAGTACCCTGAAATTAGACCCACTTCAGCAGTTCAAAGCAGCTCTGAAATGTTCATTAGTTTCCCTTTCTTTTATTTTCTTGTCTGGGTGAGGTCATCCGCAGGGTCTGTCTGAAGGTGCCAAGGTGTAAATGTAACCCCTGCGAAAATGATTAAATTAATCTAGGGTCATACTTAAAAACTACAGTCAATAAAATGGGATTAAACCCATGTAAAGAGCGGGTCAGGCGTGCCTCAAGAGTCCTTCTCCACCCACGTATCAATTTAAAAAACTGCAACATTAGTAGGCGTTGCCTGGTGGACTGAGAGGGCGGAGCTGCAGCAGTGACGAAGACGATGGGTAACGAGACAAAGCTAGTTCCCTTCACTCTGAGCAGTCATTAGAAGTGGAGGACGTTTCTCCCCCTCCTTACCCAGACACTCGAGAAGAAAGGAACCAAGTCTATTTGGAGGAGACAAGCGGACCTGAGCCTTATTGTTTTGAGCTTGTGAGTTGCCTGAAACTACCGGAACCAACCCAACAGAACCAGCTCTGAAAGGTAAGTAGCCATTAGCCATAGCATTAGATTAGCTGCAGGGTTTGGCTCCACGACCCTAGAGAGCTAGTATTCAGCATGTTTTAGAGATGTATCTGCTTCAACACACCTGGTTTTAATCAGCAACAACTGGCTGAGCTGCTTAACAGCTAATCTAACCTGTTAAAGCAGGAAAACCACTGAAACGTGCTGGATAGCAGCTCTCCAGGAGCCCTGGGCTTAAGTAACAGTCTGCTGCAGAGAAAGTTATGAAAATACCCCATGAGAAAATTATTCTGTAATGTGTTCATTTATGTTACACAATCCCAAACTGTCCACTAAAACTGCCCTGATTTCATTATTTATTTACTGATACCAGCTGCTCTCTTGGTCGTAGGTGATCCTCTGGTGTCTGCAGCTTGTCTCCTCTGGTGGTGTGGTCAGGATCAGGAGCTTCCAGAAGAATGCACCTTTGAGTGACTCTTTCCTCCTCTAAACAGTTATTTGTTATATTAATTAAATAAATCTCAATGTATATATTTCATGTTTTTGTTCATGTCCATAAATACTTAAACATGCTTGAAATTAAAATGAGCTTTTAACAGTGAGCTGCTAGTTTAATTCATCATAATAGAGCTAGTTAAACATGCAACAATGTGATCATTCAGCTAATGTAATTTATAAATATCCATTAAAATATAAAAACTGGAATCAAAATGAGACATTTGGCAGCACAAAAAAAAACTTGTCAAACACAATATTTATTATAATAATTGTAGGCAGACAGGAGACAGAGCTGATGGAGTTTCTCAGTCATCGAAGGATGGCCGAAGGCTTTCCAGGAACAGGAGATGTGGTGTTGTCTCTTCTCTCTATTCTGCCAGATGAGCTGATAGGTTACAGGTGTGTGAGGACATCATGCTGTCATAACCAGATGACATGAGTTATCATGTAATCAGCCAGGCTAATGATGAGATGCAGACAGAAAACAAATCCAGGACAGTGTACAGTAATAACGATAATAATATGTGGTGTTGCTCACCTTATGTGCTCTTATAGAGTATTAACGTGTGCCTGCCTCATGGTGTAGCATCCATATTTTGCTGAGTGCCCTGCAATAATGCAGGTTATTAGTTAATTTACTTTTAATAGCAAAAACCAAAATATTTAATTTACATGTTGTTTACCAGGTGAGTCAGCTCACACGTCACCAAGTGTAACTGGACCAGAATCAGTAGTCTCCTTCATGATGCCATGATGTAATCTAGCTCCAAGCTTGCAGCAGCAGCACACGTGTAGCAATAAGCTATGAAACGAAAACATAGTTAATGTTAAAACTCAAAGGCTGTAATAAAGATCACATGATTATTAAAAACAACTCACCTTTACTACACAGTCTTGACAGCAGATTACTTGGGTTCATTTAGCCTGAAAAAAAAAAGTATATATATATAACATCACAGTGTTGTGGGAGGTAGCTTCCAGAGATGATGAGAAACATGTGGAAAGCAGAGCTAGGATGGAGCTACAGGTTTTTCTGTTAGATCGGGAGGCCCTGAGGTAAAATGGGATGTTGGTGTGAGTCTGGGAAGATATTCTTCAGTGATGACCTGCCAGGCTGAGACGTAAGGAAAAAAACAGAAAACAGAGTACAATATTATTATTTAGAATGTTTTAACCTGGATCAGCTCATAGAGCTTGTCCTGTCATTCAGATGGAAGCTGCTCAGAAGCTCTCCACCACACCTGGGTCTGTTCAGGAGTGGAGAAGCTGCTCTGGGTGGAATTCCCATCGTGGTCCCAGTGTCAGACACACAGCTGCTGGGAGGCTATGTGAAATATAAAGCAACAGCAAATATATTTATAGTTGTTTTTAACAGCAGCAACACATGTGTAACAATAAGCTAAAATAAGGACATAATGTTAAAACTAGAAGGTAAAGAAAGACAGATGGTTAAATAATTCACCTGCAAGGCTCTAGCATGGACCGGTGCAGGCTGGAGGACTGCATCCAGCCTGGACCGGTGCAGGCTGGAGGACTGCATCCGTCTTGGGCAGATTTAGCTTGAAAAATATAATAACATCACCTTGTTGTGGGAGTTTAGTAACTTAGATCATGTACAAAACAAACTGTCTAATATAGGTGCTTTATAACATGGCTGGTGAGTGATCTGACTGCTCTCAGAGCTAACTCAGTGTCCAGAATCAGACATGTTCTAATGAGATGCGGACTCAGCACCATTTCAGAACCGGGTCAGCTTTTTAGCAGAAGGAGGAGCTGCTTGTCAGTGCCCCTCCTGCTCAGCATCAGCACTGATATTACTAACTGGTACAAAAACTCAACCCAAACCAGTCTGTGAAATTATAACACACACAACACTCACTTCGAGCCGGCGGCTATTGTGGAAATTAAAAAATAACCAAAATTAAATAAATGAATGAAGTGGTTTTATCGCATTTTTCTAAAAACCTCTGCCAATGACACGTTTTGGACTGAAAGCAACTATTGGACCATGCGGTTGTTGGTAGCGCTGAACCGCCACACTTCCTCAGGTCCTCCGTCACGCACAAGCGTGTTTTGCTAAAGAATATTACTGGTGTGAGAGGGTTCTTCAGTCAATAATATGGGGTTGGGGCAGGGGGTGTTTTCTGACCATGTTTGCATTCAAAATCTAGCTTGTTTGCAGATTTGCTATAGGGAGACTGGTCGGCTCATGGGTCACTAGAAGAACGAAAAAATAAATGCAAGTCACTAGGGCTAAAAGATCTGTTTTCCAATCCGCTTTGCCTTGCTCCCTGGATTGCACCGTCACCACAGAATCTCCTCTCCTCTAGCTGCTACTTACCACATGGCCAGATTTACGGTGGTTCTTTCCTTTTCCTGTTTTGTCATCAACAGTTATTGAGTCATCTTTTGGGTTTTTTTCCTGACCCACTCACAAAAGGAAGCAGGTAACTCTATCACTTTATTTACAACATAGAGTCAGAACCAAATCAGTAAAGAAACTAAAAAAAAGAGTCTCGAGCAAGGAAATGTGGTTGAATTAGGGGAGAGTGAATTTACAGTTTCCAATGAGTTGCTTTTAGGATACGTCTTATCCAGCGAGAGACATGGTGAGAGCATAACTTAGGCTGAGAGGATGAGAATGGGTGGGCAGATGAAGATCTGGTGAGGCGAGCAGAACTGAAAGCAGTCATGGTATGGCTGACATGTTTCCAGGTAGTAGTGGTAGTAGCAGTGGTTTGTGAACTGGAGCTTGATAGAGCTCTGAAGTTGTTTGAAACTGGTACACAAAAATAATGTAACCAAATCAGTTATTCGCAGATGACAAGAACTAAGAATACTTGAGAGGTGGCCGGTAAATACCTGACAGGGTTAATCATCTGGCAATGATTGATGCTGGTTGCATCTAATATTCTTCAGGTCTGATCAGTAGACTGAAGTCAGCTGTAACCGCAGCTCTGGAAAGGGAACGTCTCCCTGCGCACACCTGCATCATGACACATGTTGGTCTGTTAATGGTTATTGACACATACTGATTACTTATGTTGTTCAGTTTGGTGATGAATATTTACTTGTATGCATAGTTTTGTTACTTTCAGACATTGACTCAACTCTTTTGCTAATAGCAAGAGTTTATTTATTCTGCTCTACTTTATTTAGCACTGATCAACTGAATAAAGCTAATCTAAATAGTGAACAAAACATTTGTACAGTGTAACACGTTAAAGGACCAGGTGTCCTGACTGCAACTTCACAGACAGTGAGCTATCAGAAGTAGTTTCGACTGTGGAGCCTGAGTGTGTGAATAAAACACAGAAACCCAAAATAGAGCTCCAAAAATATATATATTATGCATGGTATGAAAAATATATAGACAGATGTACAAAAGCTATAACCACATACAACACAGACAACACAGAAGTTATTGTTGTTACAACAGCTATTTATGCTGCTGAACAGTCTTGGCTGGGGACCTGTGGTTTGGCACACTGACCTCTGCATGTATTACTTTACGTCATTCAGTATACATAGAACTGGTTTTCATCTGCCAATGACTGTTAAAGCATGGCTGCAGCTATCAAATATTTTAGTATTCAAATATTCTATCGGATCCTCTAATGATTAATCAAATATTCTATTTGACGACATTTCAAGTGAATCGAGATTGTGGTCTGCTGCTAAAAGTATGAAAAAAGCAACAAAATTATAAAAGGATCAACAATTTGTATAAAATTGGTGCCGTCTAGTTCCCTTTTCCCCAGCTGATAATCTATAGGTAATATTTTATGGAAGTAAATTGACATATATTTCATTAATATTTGGTTAAATATCACTCATCCTAGTCTAAACATATCTTAATAAGTAGGGCTGTAGCGAAGCCTCGACTACGTCGACGGCTCGATTCTAAAAATTTGTCGACGTCAGATCCGGAAGTCGACGCACCGCGCCCACTTGTTGCATCCCCAGGAGTTTGTAAATAGAGGAGGAATCTGCCTGTTTTTCCTCTAGTTCGCCCTCTTCTCCGCCTTCACTAACATCTCCGCCAAATACCGAAGACCCGGAACAACGTCCGTCCACTACTAGATTATTTTCCTGTTTTGCCCGCCTTCGTCTCCCGGCAACGGACAACAACTTCCGGGGTCAGATGCGCTGCTTCGTGCCTACCGCAGATGTAGAAAATCACCGGGAGCGCTTCTCCCTTCATTAAGGAGCTTCTTTCAGACATGAGGAGAGCTGTTTTGGTGGTAGCAGTCTCTCCTCCATGCTGGTCTGTTTGCTGCTGGGTGTTTTTGGTTTATTTAAACTTGGTAACTTGAACTTAACGTTGGTAAAGCTACTGTTAGCATCTTCGCTAACAGCTTCTTGCGTTGGGATAAGCTGTTACGTTTTGGTTTAGAGTTCATCTTTTTTGTGGTGTAGATCTCCCTTTTATTACATTTAGAGTGTTGTGGGTTTTCGGTTTAGTGTAAAATACCACCTGAGTTTGGTTTAACCCGTAAGACCACTCGCCTCACGCACATAAGTGACCAAAACAAAGCAGCATGGAGACACTCCATCTTCTACCACCTCTCAGGCAGCAGCCTGCACTCCCAAGTTCTACACGTCACCAGAACATAACCAACCAACACAATAAACGCAGTGTTATACAAAATGGAAGGCCTGTAGTGTTTATTCTCTTACAGTAAGAATTTATCAATTTTTTTGAGGAATTTATTTGAGATTTTCTGGTTTTTGTTAATTGTGCAATAGAAAAATAATCATTAGATTAATTTTCTAAATAGTCATTAGAATAGTCGACTATTCGATAAAATAATCGTCAGAATAATCGTTTTAAAAATAATCGTTTACCCCCAGCCCTATTAATAAGTTCACATATGGTCAGTAGAATTGAATTATTTCATTGACATGTTCAGTAGTAAGCTACTGGAAATGCTACCAACATGCAATTTCTACAAGTAACAATGTAATGGTGGCATACATATTTTATTATGTACGGGTTGGCAATATAATCTAAATTGTATTCATAGCTTGCCATAGCTCTGCTGCAGTGTGTGGAGCAGACTCAGTTCGCTGACTCTCAGTAGCAACAACCTGACTCCAGCTCAGCAGCTGCAGCAGTTCTGCTCCATACCGCTGCAGCTGCAGACATCCACACATTAACGGGACAGTGGGGATTTTTCTTCCGCCTGTACAGTTTAGTTATTAGCAGCCATCACATTTTTTTCAGAACTCCACTTGATCGTGAGTGTGCTACATGCTAGCTTAGCATTAGCTAATCTGCCCTTAGTTTAACTCTTGATCCCAAACTTTGGACCATTTCTGCCTTTTACAATAGTTTCTGTCTTTGCTGGTTTCTCTATTTTCCTCCGCTGCACCTAGATCACCACATTGTACACCAGTAAAATATGTTCAGACTGTGGTGTGCACATTTAACGAAGCTTTCAATCACTAAAAAAATGAATCGAGGAATTTAATGATCATTCTGTGATTCGTTAAAGCCCTATGTTTAACCAATCCAGTTAAAATGGCTATCATACTTCTGACGTCAATTTAGCCCAACTTCAGCATTTTATGTTGTGTCAAATATTTGACTCTTGCTTCATATCTGTGCTGCCTTTGACCTAAAGCAAAGATCAATTGTTCACTGGGACATTTATTGTTACACAGTTGGCTTCTTGTATTGAGAGTGTGCTTAAGCAAAATCAATATTGTTTTATCAGAGGCTCAAATGAAAGCATTAATCCTGAGGCTGAACTGCGTGATACAGTGTACTCTAATGCTACAAAACAAAAGCATGCTAGTATTTTTGCAGCAGCTGCTATGACCTCTTGTGACCTTTATAGTGTCAACCACCACTATAATTCACACTTAAAACAGATAAAATGAGTATAGCAGCTTCATCTTTTGTATACATGCACACACACACTTTGGCAGTTAAAAACAAGAATGAAAGCCTTTCATCATTTTTGCATACATAACAAAGTATCTCTTAAACAAATGGATAGAATGAACAGGGAAAAAAGATGGTGCACAGTGTTGCAGAGGACATAAATGTTGCTTTACAGTAGGGCTTCAACGATTCGTCGACGTTGTCGCCAGACGTGTTTTTTCTGACCGAGTGAGGCATCTCACTTCATTGCAATCTCTGCCGAGAGTCGCACATGCGCAATAGCATCTCTAACAGCAATAGCCAACTAACAGAAATGGCAGTGTCCAATACAGCCTGGATTCGGCGAATCAAAAGTTTACCTGCATTATTTGCAAAGCAGTCCTTGCGTATCACGGCAGCACCTCGGTGATGCATGAACACTTAAAGAGAAAGAAGGTTGGACAGTTGAATGAAACTGAGTCTGACTCACCTCGGTACGATTTAAATAACACGAAAACCGATACGTTTTGTTTTGGATGTACATTGTACATTTTTTAAATTGATTTTTGCTTTTAAAAAAGAGAGATTTAATGTTATGCCGGGCTGTGCCTGACTAAAGTATTTTAATTTAATTTATGCATTTATGTCTGTACTGACTTTGTACTGTACTTAATTGGTGTTTAGACAGGGCATTTTTATTTACTTTTAGTATGAATTGGCCTATCAGCAGCAAAGTTCAATAAAATATGCATTTTCCATTGAAGTACCCATCTTTCTTGTGTTTATCATTTTTAACACAATTAAATCAATCTCATGCTAAATTTAAGAAAAAAAAATTATCCGATTAGTCGACTAATTGTTTCAATAGTCGGTGACTAGTCGACTATTAAAGTAGTCGTTAGTTGCAGCCCTACTTTACAGCCTATACCGTCTCTGGGTTTAAAGAAAATGTGGGTTACTCCAGGACAGCTGTTCACAACTTGAGATCCTTGTCAGCCTAAAGAAGGGGTGGGAGGGTACAATCTCAGAGCATTTGCAAGTTCTTCTCAGCATCTGGTTATTAAAAATAAGTTTAACACAACTACAAAATGCTAACTGTGGGTGGATGGATGGATGGATGGATGGATGGATGGATGGATGGATGCAGATCCAGGTGCAACAAATATTGCTGCCTTTGACTGGAGGTTTAGTGAGTTGGTTTCTCATTTTTTTAATTAAAGGAATGAGAAAAAAGCAGAGTACATCAAACACTAAAAAATGGAGAACAGAATTGGAATACATGCAAAATGAGGAATTACAAAGCATACATTTCTAGATGTAGGTGGAGGCTCCAGGTTGCAGGAGCAGCTCTGTTTTTCTGCTTCAGAGCTCACCCAAGCAATGCTTCAAGGCACTTGGCCACTTAAAACAATTGAGGCTTTTGAAAATGTGGTGGTCTGATGCCTTTAAAGCTTTTCTGTCTCAGGGGAGGTGGTCACAAGAGATGATTACTTAAAAAGAGTTGATAAAGAAGGCCCTAGAGCTGTCAGTCAGCTAGGGCTCCAGCTGTGTGTCTTTGATGAAGAGATAACGACCTGAATGAAAAAATAAGATTAATGTTGTGTGTGTGTGTTATATGTATTGAGTGTGCTTCTTGCATCTCCAAGAGCTAGGGGTCAGAAGTCCTTGGGGAGGTTTAAGAATGGGCAAACTTGTTTTCTAGAAAGGCAAAGAGCAACAAAAGAAGAAGGAAAGAAGTTGGAGGGAACAGCAGTATGGCATAGCCAGAAGAGTAATCTCAACGTATCTCTGAGCTGTCAATCACATCACAAAACCCAGTTTGCTCCAAAGTAGGGCTGCAGCTATCGAATATTTTTGTAATCGAGTACTCTATTGAATATTTGATCGATTAGTCGAGTACTCTAATAAATTACCCTTTTTTGTTTGTAAACCATTATATCAAATAGCATGTTATAAAATATGAAAGACCTCTTAAAATGAGAAAGCAATTGCCACTTATTCTTCAAGATTTATTCAAAATTAGTTTTCAAAACTTCAGCACTTCAACTTTACAGTAAACAAATGCGAGCGGCTGCGGCCCAAACAGCACCAGAACCGCTCACGGCGCATGCGCAAACATGGCTCGCCAGCTATTTCCCTATTAACACACGTCCGTTTTAAGTTCTACACTTTTTTTCTCACACAATAACAAGGATTGTCGACAGCATGTTTGCCGTGGTAATGTCAAATTATACTGATCACACAACATTTATTTACTTTCTTTCGTTTTCCTCCGTCACTCTCATAAATACCCGTGTCCTCCTGCAGCAATCCCGAGGGACAACGGACATCAATAACAACACAGTAAAAAGTCTGACGTGTTGTAAAAAATGCTATTTTTAGCACATTTTAAGTCCGACGTGTTGCTACCAGACGTACGGTGTGAGCTGAAACTGAGTGCTACAAATGAAAAAGTCGCACAGTGTCCGCAGAATATATAGAAATACAGGCTAAAATGCATTATCTTGTAGGGGCTCCGAGTCTGCTTGCAGAAGTGACATTTACATGTGGATGTTTCCTGGTCAGGAGCTGCAGCTTGGAGGATGTGGTGTTGTGGTAGGCTAAATCCATTTTACAGTTTTTAAACTGGACTACGTTTTCCACCTTACGACGTGAAAAATGGTCCCACACCTTTGACATTTTGTGTCTTTTTCGCACTCCACCGGGGTCCACGTTGTCCACCATGGTTAAAGAGAAGTTAAGTTACATTCGCTACTGGCGTGTGCATTCAGTGCAGTGTGTATGTGCGTCACTTATTTCGGTCCGGGTGAAACATGACCACGGGTGATTGCAAAGCCATGAATTAATTAAACATGAATTAAATGAAGCCTCGAGGCAGAGAATTTGACTCGAGGATTTCTTGTACTCGAATTATTCGAGGTACTCGAGGAATCGTTTCAGCCCTACTCCAAAGCAAGCTGCTGAGTGAGAATCAAAAAGGAAACACAGACCACCTTTTTCCTGCAGCAAACAAATGCTCTCTAAATTTTCCAGTTAAAATTGAGTTGAAACAGACCTGTTGAATATTTTAGGTGCAGGCTAAATGAAACATCTTGTACAGACACGGATGGAAAATATTGGGGAGGACATTCTGAGTTGCATGTTAAGACAGTAATGCTCAGCTGGCTGACGTACCTTTTATATTTTTCTCCACCACAGTGTACAGTTTAAATCAGCCATGATCATGTCAAAATATTGTTATGGCCCAGCATCCTGTTTTCACTTCAGGGCCTTTTTTTAGAGAGGAGCTCAAATTATTCTTAAGAGAGATGGGAGTGGCTGTTTTAGAGCCACCAGGGACATTAATTAAAATTGGCTTACAGTAATCTGCAAAAGTTTTAGGTAGGAGTGAAGAAATGCTGTGAACAAAGAATGCTTTCAGAAATATAAGAAAATTAGTTATTTTCACTCATTTACAAATTACAAAGTGAGTGATCGCAAACATGCAGCAAAAGTCCTTAAGAACTATCTTCAGCAGAAAGAAGAACAATAAGTCCTGGAAGTGATGGTTGGGCCCCACAGAGCCCTGATCATGGAGTGTTTCTGGGAAGAGACAGAAAGATGTGAGGAAGCTTATATCCACAGAAGATCAGTGGTTTGTTTTCTGAGATATTAGGAACAACCTACCAGCCCAGTTCCTTTAACAACAGTGTGAAAGTGTATCTAAAAGAGTTGATGCTGTTTGGAAGACAAAAGGTGGTCACACCAAATATTGATCTGATTTAGTTTTCTATTTTGTTCATTCTCTGCTTTTTGTTGATGATGAAAAATAACATTAACACTCATTCTTGAAAGAATTACTTGTTTACAGCATGTTTTCACACCTGCCTAAAACTTTTGTCCAGTGCTGTGTAGATAAAATCAAAGTCTCAAGGCTGATTTATACTGCTCCGTCAGCTCAAGAGTGGAGTCACTCACAAAAATTGACAAAGATGTTTCACTTCAGATTTCTCTGTCAGCTGGAAGAAAGCAATTCCCTGCCAGGACAGCAGAGGGCGTAGTTCTATTTGCAGGTTTCCTGCCACTAATCACAAGCTTGCAGTCTTTGTCATTTTCAACAGAAAGTTTAAAATTTGTGCAGGTCTCCGTCAGCCTCTGTGAGCCCATTGGAAAGCCCTTACGCAAACGCTTACTGGCGTTGCGTGTCTCCGTACCCATGCAGATGGAAAAGTATAAATCAGGCTTAATACATGCTGTACTGAACCCTAAGACTAAGGAAAAGCTCCAACGCAAAGTGGAAACTCTTCATATAAACAGGTAAAAAGCACCCACGGTCTCTCTTTTAATCCCTCCTGCATTGTTGGCATCCCAACCCACCCGCTCCCACCTCTCCGTGCCGTTGTCTGCAGCTCCGCTGTCTCAGAAAAACTAAACACTCCTCTCACTCAGCGCCGAGTTTCCTCAGCTATTTGCCGACATTGAAGCCCAGAAACGGAGATTTTAACCGCTCAGTAATGTGTTCACGACTGAAAGAGAAAGTTTTCCAACTAACTTCCAGACAGAGCTGATATAACTCCAGCGAGCAGCGATGCGCTCAAATCAGCATGACTCTGTGACTGCTGTCGTTTTTATTTTTCCTCCCTGGCACACAATGTGGTCAAGCTGCGCAGACGCTCTCCATGTTCACCAGCACAAACCTATGAGAGCACCTGTTATCTAATGTTGTCATTATTATGATGAAGATGAACAAAATAACAGGAGTCTCCTCCTCAGCTCAACCCCATGATGCAGGTATCTGGCTGGAACAGGTGAGCATCACAGTAAATAAGTGGAGCAAACCGAGCTTTGAATATTTTGTTTTTATGCTCTTTTTCTGCTTCAAAACATGAAAGTTGCATGTTGCATTTTCATTTAAGATAAAATTGTATTTTTATTTTGTTGTTGGCCCGTGAGAAAAATTTTAACCTTCAGTAAAACTGGAAAGGCTGCAGATAGATGAATAGAATAGAAAATCCTTTTATTGTTCCTCAGTGGGGAAAGCTAGATGCCACAGCAGCGCTGACACTTATTACAGGAGAAAAAAAAAGAATAAAAATAAGAAAAAAGAAAAAAACATAAATCCTGAATAGATTTTAAAAATGCTGAATATACCACAAGTAATGAATACCGCTGATGCGTTTTATTTAAAATTGACTTGCTCGTGTGTAATTTGATTGATCCACATTCAGTGTTAACCCCTTGATGCATAATGGTCACTACAGTGGACAAGTACTCAAAATTGTTATTTATTTGTTTTTGCTATTAAGGACAGCTGTTGAAGACTTTATTGCATTTGAGCCCCTCCATTTGGACTTCAGTAAGCCAAGCCATCATATTTCATGTTCTGGATGCACGCTGTCCAAATACAAAAAGTATTTGTTGAAATTTGTTTCATCCACACCCAAAGATGAATGAAAAAAATTGTTAAAAAAATCATGGTTGAAGATTTCATAATTCATGCATCAAAGGGTCAATGCAAAAATGAGTTTGTTTCCAAGTTAAAGGTTCAAAATTGCATATATGTTAAAGAAAATGTGCAAATTTGCCGTAACTTTTTCAAAAAATATTAAGTTTGGCCCGCGACTTTGTCCCAGATTTTCATTTAGGCCCACTGTGAATTTGAGTTTGACACCCCTGCTTTAAAGTGTCCTAATTTTCCTGAACACACATTGTCCCTTACATGCAGTGAACTAGTACAGGAGGTGATCAATCCTCAGATGTACAGTTTAATGGGTCCACTCTGCAAACAAGACAGAAAAAGCTGCTTGAGGGTACTTCACAGGGGAGGATTTGCTAGTGTGCAAGTGGGTTCTTCGAGGTGATAATCTTAGGGGTGTTGTCAAATAGCTGAATCAATCAAGTCTGTGTCCTTGTGTCCAGCTTTTTGAACACCTTTTTATTGATTGGGCTGGGCCTTTGCCTTAGTCAAAAGCAGGTAGGTAGGGATTTACTAACTGTTGTAGCGGAAATCCACATTTTATATCCTCAGATTAACTTTGTTTGGATTCACATGAAGGAGAACATAACTATTTTCACAAAGTTTTTCATCTAACATTTAGCAGAAGAAAATCAAAGGGGGAATTTGAACCTGGCCCGCAGTTTCAGCATTCTGGTTACCTCATACGACTCTCTCCCAGGATCGTAAATTGCACCAATTTGACTGGACTCCCTTTTGATCCAATCAGGAGGCGCAAGTAATATCAGAAAACTGGCCTGTTTTATATCAACCTCAGACTGACCCTTTTCTCAAGATAGGGGAAGTCGTAAAACTTCTTTTAGGTCCTCCTGCAGGGTATCCATGGGCCCTTAAAAAGTCTTAAATTAGCCTTTCCAAATTTAAGGCCTTAAAAATCCTTAAAAATTACAAATAATCCTTAAATACAGTTTCCAAAGGTCTTAAATTTTCAAAGACCCAATAAACAAGAGTCTTTTATTTCTATAAAATTTTCATGAATTTCTAGTTAGTCTTCAGCATTTTTTGTGTATGATATTGGCATAAGCGGAACCGTACACATTCAGTTGGTTGTGAAAGGGGGCTATTTTTAGATGAGCACATTAGCTGGTTAAACTAGTAGGAGCTTGCGCCATGAGGAAGTGCAACTTTAATGGTAACTGGATGGCTAATCCCATGTTCGCGACATGGTTAGCACCGGTTCCAAGCAATAGCTGGAAAATAAAGCTTAAATTTAATTATAAAAATAGCTTAAATTTGGTCTAATTGGCCTTAAAAAGTCTTAAATTTGGCTCCCTTAATCCTGCAGATACCCTGTCCTGGGAGCTTCAAAACCTGAGTCTTTATAAACCTTGCATTCCTGTTTATCTACAATCAAAGAAGGTGTTTTAGGTTTGTTCGAAATTAAATTTCAAGGTGTTCCAAGGTTAAGTTTAAAATCTTATCAGTTACAAACCTAACTGCTTGTTTTGTGTATTTCTTTTATGTTAAACCTCTGTCAATTTGTGTTTCTCCAGTTAAAGTTCATGCTAACGGTAAAACTATTTAGTTTTAAGACATCAATTTTATTCTTTCCCATTTAAAGTAATACTTTGATGCTAAAGTAATACTTTTTGAGGCTTTATATGAATAACTGTGTTAAATTGTGATCATGGACTTTCCATCTTTGAGAAGGTAGTTTATTTGGAAAAGCCACAGTGCCATCTAGTGGTTAATGGGTGAAATACATGTGGGTGTGACCAAGAAGGTTATAAAACAACAGTGCAAACCTCGTGTCAGCAGAGTAAGAACAAAGAAGAAAGATGCCTTAAGTGAACCTCTGCTGGGCTTTTCCATCTGGGCCCAGCAACAGATAACCCGGTGCTTTACAGATGTCAAGTAATTAGCTCTCAAAAGTTATGGTAAAACTTAGAAGCAACTCCGTTTGTTTTGTTTTGACTTCCTATGTGAAACCAGAAGTCTTCATGTTCGTTCGAGTTCTCCCATTAATAGTTACAACTAATTTGGGGCAGTTTTTCCTAATTCAGCATCGGTTTTGATAATTTGGACTTGCGCTCTGAATTCCACATTTTCGGTGCAGCTGAAGTGAAGAAACCTTAAAGTCCAGCCACTCCCGGGGAACGAGATTCTCCTGAACTCAACAGACTCCGTTGACCAACTCGGGGCCAAAATCTTACAGTCCCAGAAGCCTCTTCATGAGCAAGGACTCCAAGGCTACCTCAGCCCTTTGGCCACCCTCTGACGATGGGAAGAAAGGTCTGTGAATCACTTTCATCTGGCTGACTTTTTCTGCTAAGCCCGATTTGTGAATTCAGACTTAAACTTTTATGGTGTGTGTTATTTTCGATCCAAATTCTCATTTGGCTCTCAAGATTTACCTTCTATCCTTATTCGCACACACACACACCAACTTTCATTTGCATCCACTCACACACATGAACACCCCCCCTCCTGCACCCATACAACACACATACACACACACACACACACACACACACACACACACACACACACACACACACACACACACACACACACACACACACACACACACACACTCACCCTCACCCATTTCACCTAAACCCACATGAACATTTCACATTGTCCCCCTTCAGAATTTATTCCGCATTTTTCTATAATCCCGGTGTCACCGAATTTCCACTTTTATTACGGAACAGTTATTTCCTATTTCCTATCACTGCCATAAAGCTTTGGGTTAACAATTTTCTTAATTTCATGCATGAAACTATAAGCTGTGTTGGTCCTTTTGTCAATGTATTAACTGATGTTTTAATAAATTCACAAAACGTAAATAACTCCTGATCACTGTCTAGCAATTCTCGGGAATAATCGGCACATTCTGTCAAGAATTCATCCTTTAGATCAATTTGTGGTGTTAACTCTGAGACTGATTACATTGCGAAGATATAGATATTAAATCCAATGGTCCAGTTTTGGAAACTGGTGGTGCCCCGATTAATTAATAGAAGATTAAAAACAAGCTAAATCTACGCCACATTTGAAATTTAGATATAAATCTATATTACTCGCTACACTGTGTCTCAGCTCAACTCAGTTTTCGGTATCCCAAAGATCAAGGAACAACATTTTCAGGCAAGATATTTGCTGAGATTCTTGTTAACTTTTACCACTGTCACTGGGGACTGATATTTACAGACTTTTCTGTTGACTTGACCACAAAGTAAAAGAATAAGGCATGCTTTAATAATAAAGCAGCCTGATAAATAAACTGAGCAACAATCAGTGCAGTAATGGTTTTACTTGTTTCAGTAAGACACAAGAAGACCAAGTGGTAAAAGTCATGAGCAGAAGTTGGCAAATTATATTTTAATTTATGTTAAAGGGGAATTTGGCAGTTTTGGCTTGCTTTTAGCACCCCTAGTGTCCATTTGTATTACCAAAAGCAAAACGTATCTCCTCGCTGTGCGTTTGTCTTTATAACACCTTAATCTAACAGCTGAAATGTCTCCCTATCTTTATTGGTGTCTACAGGGGTGATTAATCACTAAATTAAGCTAATCAGCTGTGTTCATGATCTAAAAAATGCAGAAAACATGCCGGAACCAGACTGCTGCACCAGGTATGTCAGCTGAATTTTTCTAAATCCCAACAGAGCGGACTGGCACTCTGAAGTTGCAAGTGGAATATTCTGGCCACGGGGCGATGGGGGCTGGGTGGCCTTTCATTAACCCTGTAAATGATAGTTTTAGCACATACAAGCTCAAGCAAATTATTTAAAAATATGAAAAGTTGCAAAGTGTCCCTTTAAAATATCAGGTTTAAGATGAATTCTCTTCAGAGGGTATTGCCCGGACTTGAACATTTTCTTCGGTTATTGTTCAGTGTTTGCTGCATTTCTGAAATGGGAAAACAGTTATAAATCTCTCATTACTACATCGGTTATGATCATATTTTCTTTTTACAACAAATCCTCAAATTACTTTGCCATTTAGGTAGTACACAGAACGTATTGATGCCCATTAGTGGAAAAAGCAAGTCAATGCCAATTGTTACATCCTGACCTTTATCCTATTTACGGGCCAATATACTACACAAGAGAATAGTGGACAGTAATTATAGGCTTATCGGATGTAGTATACACAGGTCATTTAGCTTCTCCATTCTTTGCTTAATTGATTTAAATTCAAAGGGGCATAAAACATGGTCTCCTTGCTGTCTTTAAGATGCCGATTTGGGATCATTGTTGAATGGATTGCAATTCTGCACCCAAGTACTTACTTGAATATTCAAAAGACTAATTAATAAGGTTTGCAAACCATTGATTGTGAATAGCAATGAACAAACTGTGTGACTATTGGGATAATCTATCTGTTGCTTTTGAGCTATGACCTCATTAGATAAGCCCTTTGTTAGTTTAGGTTATAGAATTAGTGATTTCTTTTCAAGAAACATTCAAACAAGTTAAAACAGTTGGTACATTGGTGCACATTTATACAACTGTTTGTCACAGGTTAAGTTTCCTAAACATCACAAACACAGAGCACAAGTCTGGAGAGAATGTAAGTTCCTCTTTTAAAGCAGCTCTTGGATTGATATTACAAGATGACTTACACTGTAGTGAACATGGAGCATTGTGAGGTGGAGATGACTATACCGGTTCATGCAACAACTCCACTAAAGTCAGTAAGAAATTCATCATGAAGCAGAGATAGCTGGGAAACATATAGAATGAATAGAACTGGAGGATAAAAATTCATGACTTTGATCAGGATATACTGACACATCACATTGAACTGAGGCTGAATTTTCCTAGAGACACTAATCTAATGAGGACCTCCAACAGAGGAGAAACATCGGTGCTGACAGGCACAGAGACAGATGTTAGGGTGTAGAGTTTCTACTTGACATATAATTAAACCTGACATACTCATTGTGTGGATATTTATGATCTGCATTATGTTATTAAAAAGGAGTATTCTTTCTTTGCATTGTCTAGCTATAATTACCATAATACCAGTGAGGAACATAAGTATTTTAACATTGAGATACATTTTGTATATCGGAATTCAGCTAAAAGATATCGAGATATAAGTTTTGGTCTATATCGCCCAGTCCTAGTCTGCCACTTTGAGCCTTAACTTAAACTGAGCCTGTTGTCTTCCAGGCTCAACATGTTCCTAATTGTGGAAACAGACAGCTGAAACCTCTGAGACAGCTTTCTGTATCCTTCCCCCAAACCATGATAGTGAATAATCTTTGTTTTCAGATAGGGCTGGGCGATATGGCCTAAAATCAATATCACGATATATTGAGGATTTCACCTCTAAAGATAAATGAACGATAACTACAGGTATAAGCAGAAACAAAAGTGGTCTACTAGATGGGGCTGTCACGTGTATTACGTTCAGTCACATTGTGGTGCAGCTTCTTAAAGGGACATGAACATTGCCAACCTACACACATCTATTCATTTTTTATTATCAAATTTGACACGTGAAAAGTTATCTTGATAAGAATTCGAAATATCGATAATGATAAATTTTCGATTTATTGCCCAGTCCTATTTTCAGGTCATGTGAAATTTATTCTGAGACCCCCATGTTGCTACTATTCAGAGCTTCAGAGAATTTTGAAAGAGGAAGAAACTTACAATTGGCCCCCTTAAATACTCTTTCTCATAATTTGACTCATCTGTTAATGGAGGTCAAGGGTCACTGAGCTCACCAAACCAATTTTGGGCTCCAATAATGATTTATATAGGTTTTGGAATCAATAAACAATTATTGCACACTTTCTGTAAGTCCTATACACTTTGTTTCATTTCTCAATTATCACTGTATGTCTCCTATATGATGTATGAAACAGAATTTTTTAATATAATACCAAACAACGATTTATAAAGAAAAATCATTAAGATTAACAAGGCTGCCCAAAAATTCACATCCCACTGTATTTTTGATGCACTCACCTGGACTATTGGACCACTGTCTGACCTTTGAATGCTTTGTTTGGAGTGGTTGCAGTGAATACCTCTTTGGAAACTTACCAATTACATTGCCAATTGCCTTTTGTTGTCTGATTGCTAGAAAATGCATTCTTCTTTTTTCTTTTAGGACTCATTCTTTCCAGGTGGAAGGAT